AAGAAAGAAAGAAAGAAAGAAAGAAAGAAAGTAGGGTGTCAGGTAGATGCCAAAGCTGGATCAGCAGCCCTGAAAGGAATCGGGCAAGCCCTCACACCGGACAGCTAGTCTTCCTTGAAACCCACCCACCCAATATACCCTAGCTCTAGTAGTAGAGAATCAGTCAAGCTGTGGATAAAAAAGCAGACCTAAGGATCCTGGCTGAGCAGTTCAGCCAGCAGAACTGCTATACCCAGAGGGGAGCAGCATGAGGACTCCACAAGGGGAACATTGGGACCCTGTAGTACTGGAGGTAAGAGTACCTTTGGCCCTGTGTTCCTTCTAAGTAGACCTCACAATTAGGGTGCTCTAAGCTTCTGTCCTTTCTTCACATTTATGATGTGATTATTTATGCAATAGAGCATCACAGATTTATGGGCAAATGTTTTGTAACTACTGTAGTTATCATATCGTCATGGTAAATGCTTTGAGCTATTAAATGTAAGCTCACCAGTGGGGGCTTTTCACCTATAGTTTTAGGAGCTTGAACCCATGGAATACTAGAACCTATGAAAATATACACTTGCTGGGGGTGGGGTGGGAGAATCCAATCTGTGAGTGAGACTCTATGGTCCCTTTTCAGTTCTGATATTTTAGAATTCTATTTTTTAGACAGTAGAAATGTAATGAGAGGATGTCTTTCCTTGGATTCTGAAAATAGCACCAAGGAGGGATAAGACAGGGCCTAAGATCCATAGTTTCAGGTTGCTTGGTAGTAATAATAGTAATAACTTGTTAATATAATACTAAAGGATATGAAAAATCACTCTATATACATTATCACTAGGACAGTAAAATGCTTAGGTATTGGTATGGTAGATAGAGTGCTAGAACTGGAGTCTGAAAGACCTAAGTTCAAATGTAGCCTCAGATACTTACTAGCTATGTGATGGGGACAAGAAACTTAACTTGTCTGCCTCACTTTTCTCATCTATAAAATGAAGGTAATAATAGTACCTACCTCCCAGGGTTATAAGGATACAATTAGATACATAATTGTAAAGTGCTTTGTAAACCTTAAAGGACTATATAAATACTAGCTGTTATTATCACATTTGATTCTCACAACTCTGGAATGGGTGAGATTAAGACATTTTTCAGATGTGGAATCTGAGCCTCAGAGAAATTAAGTGATTTGTCCAGAGTCACATACCTACTAACTCTCTGAAGGCAGAAAAATCTGAACTCAGGTTTCTCCAACCATCAGCTAGGTAACAGATAGAGTACCAGGCCTAAAGTCTCCAGGAAGGCCCAAGTTAAAATATGATCTCAGATACTTACTAGCTGTGTGACCTGGCCAAGTCACTTAACCTGTTTGTCACAATTTCCCAAATGTAAAATGGGGGTCATTGTAGCCTCTACCTCCCTGGGTTGTTATGAGGATCAAATAAGATAATAATTGTGAACTACTTAGCATGGCATTTAGTAAGTGTTATATAAATGTTAGCTATTATTCTTAAATAATATTTTCTAACACTAAATATTATTATTAAACAATGATATATTATTATTTTATAATATGTTAAATATATTAATTTAGAACAGTGACTGGCACATAGTAAATGCTACATGTTGTTCAGTTTGGACTCTTAGTGACCTCATCTGGGGTTTTCTTGGCAAAGATACCAGAATGGTTTGTCATTTACTTCTCCAGCTCATTTTACAGATGGAGAACTGAGATAAATAAGGTTAGGGGACTTGCCCAGGGTCACACAGCTAGTGTATGAGGTCATATTTGAACTTAGGTCTTCCTCCACTCCAGGCCCAGCCTTCTACCCACTTCACCACCTAGTTGCCCCTAAGCACTAAACAAATGTTAGCTATTATTATTATTTCCGACTCCAAGTCCAGGATTACATCAAAGATGTACAATTGGAAGGGCCCTTACGCCAACTCTTTCACCTCGTTTTATAGTTGAGGAAATTTAGCCCCAGAAGAGGTAAAGTGAGGTCACACAGGTAGTACGAGGTCACAAACAGAATTTGAACCCAGGTCTCCTTTCTACTCTTCTGTGGGTCAGTGAGGCAGCATAGACACTTCCGAGAACGTTCCTACCTTCTGTCAGTCTCTTTGTTCACCCCTTATGCCACACCCTCAATCTCTGATACCCCTAAAGGTGGCGGCTTGACATAGAACTGTCCTTGCCTTCCAAAAACTACAGTTCCCAGCATAGCTAGCGCCAAATGCCCGCCCAGGAGACGGGGAGGGATGGCGCATTGCCCGCTGGGAATAGTAGTCCTTTCCGCCGGAGTTCTCGGCGCCTGGCACGTGTCTCCCTCAAGGGCCGGGTCTCCACGACTCTAGCTAGGATCTCTTCTCTACAGGGCCGGGAGGTGGGGAGCGCTTTTCCGGAGCCCTTTAGGATGACGTCATCTCGTCGAGCCCGAAGCCGCCCGGCCCCTGCCCACCACCGGGCGGAAATGGCTGAGATTGGGAGTTAGCGGTATTGTTGGGGAGCAGGGTCTCCAGTTTCCGCTTCCGGAAGGAGGGAGGGGTGGCCACCGGCCGGAGTGGGGTGGGGGGTCCCCATTAGAGAAACTAGAAGCGAGATGGTCCTGATCAAGGAGTTGTGAGTAGGGGTTCCGGGCCCGAATGGAATAGGAGGGTTCGGGGGCCGGTGTTCTGCAAAGTGCTGGTAGGGACCGGGACGGCAGGAGGGGGGCTGTGCACGGGAAATCCCTGGACCAGGAGGAGGGGGACTTTGCCCCAAATCCTTAACCAGTTTCTGCGTGCGTGGGCGAGTCGTTTTAATCTTTCTGGGCCTCAGTTTCGTCAGATGTAAAATGGGGAAAACCACGCTTGCACTACCCATCTGTCTCACTGTAGACCCAGCTCCGGAGAAGTAATGATTGTTCGTGACAATCACGGATGCAAAGAGAAAGGGTCTCCTCCCCCAGCCTTTCCCCACGCCCCTCACTCTGTGTCCCTTCTTCTTTTTGCAGTCGGGTGTTACTGCCCTGCTCCGTGGAGGAGGTGAGATGTTCCCCCCACCCACCTCCCAGTGCCTGGTTCTCACCCCACCTTCAGTTCTCCCCAAGGGTCCTCCCACCATCTGCCTGGGGGATGGGGGAGGCTGCCCACGGTCTGGGCTCTGTCCATTCCTCTTGCGTCACCCAGCTGTTTTCTCTCTACTCTCAGTATCAAGTGGGACAGTTGTATTCCGTGGCCCAGACCAGCAAGAATAACACGGGGGGCGGTGAGGGCATCGAGGTCCTCATCAATCAGCCCTACGAGGGGGGTCCTGGTGAGCGGGGCCAATTTACCCACAAGATCTACCATCTGCAGAGGTGAGGGTAGCTGGGGCACGCAACCTGGAGAGGGCATCGGGATGGTTCTGGCTTGGCCTGGACTTTCAGCCCTTGACCCTGGCTTCTTTCACACTGCAGCAAGGTTCCAGGATTTGTTCGCCTGTTCGCCCCTGAGGGTTCCCTGGTGTTTCATGAGAAGGCCTGGAATGCCTACCCGTACTGCCGCACTGGTGAGGACAGTTTAGGTGGCCAGGGCAAGAGAAGGCCAGAGGCCTGGGTCTGAAAAAAGGCGAGGGGTCCTGGAACATCAGAAACCTGAGTTAGGCACTCTCTGTCCTGGGATGGGAGAGCTGGTGGCTGGGAGGCCCCTTATGTTACATAGCTGTAATCGGTTACTCTTCTTTTCCCCATCTTTTTTCTTTTGCCTTTTTTCTTCATTTCGCTAAAATTACTTGCCTTCCATCTGGCCACTGCTGTCTACCTTAGTCATCACGGTAAGATGTCCCTCTTATCAGAGAATGGGGAGGGCCAACTTGGGTTTAGCCAAAACACATAGCTGGCTTTCACTAAGTCTTTCCCTATTTTTTCTATCCAGAATGAATATATGAAGGATGATTTCTTCATCAAGATTGAAACCTGGCATCATCCAGACATGGGGACTCAGGACAACGTGAGTGTGAAGTAAATCTTAGTGAGACTGTAGAATAGTTAGAGCACTGGCCTAGAGTCAGGAAGACTTGAGTTCAAATCTTGCCCCTAACACTAGCTGGGTGACCTGGGCAAGTCACTTAACCTTTGTCTGCCTCACTTTCCTCAATGGACGTAATCATAGCAACTATCTTCCACGGTTGTTGTGAGGATTAAATGAGGTAATATTAGTAAAGCTCTTAGCTTGGCATGTAGTAGGTACTTAATAAATGCACCTTCTCTTCCCCTTTCACCTAGATGTCTGGCTATGTTTACCTCTAAGAACTTCAGTCACTAGCCCTTTGTTCCCTACCCTCACTGTTTGTCCTCTATCCCTAGAGAACTTAGGGGTCTCCTGTACTGATTATTTCTTGTCCATCCTTATAGCCTCTATTTTCCAACAGAAACTTCATATGGGCAGGTCTAAGCATGGCTCCCCAATCACACCTCTGTACTTTTGCCTTTCCATCCTTCCCCACCCCCACCCCGGGCAAAGAAAATTCCCTATCTTGTCTCCTTCCATTCTGAAAATCCTGTTTTTGTCAAGGCTTAACTTGAACTCCTTCTCATGAAACCTTCTCTAGCTCCTTGGGCCTCTTCCTTCTCCAGAATCCTATTAGCAGCACTTATAATCAGCTCCACAAAGCTTAGTACTTAATTATTTTCTGTTTTACCTGTAGTAGGTTGCTTCTCACATTAGATTAAGGTCTTTGAAAGCAAGCATCATGTCTTATACTTCTCTTGTGTCCCCATACAGTGCCCACTACAGTGCTGAGCACCTAGTAGGTGTTCAATACATGCATGTTGATTGACTGGTATTTCTCGTACCGGTTCTCTGCTGGGACTGGACAGATGTTACCAAGCTCCTCCTATGGGAGCCCAGCCTTCCCTTTCCAGAGAGGAGGTAGAATGCTGAATCTCTACCATATAAAGTAGTTCTTAGTTACACATATCCTGTCTTGTATCGTTCATGGTTGTTTCATGTGTTTGAGTATTCTTTACTAGAATATAAGCCCTTGGAGGGCATAGTGCCTTACGCTTTTTGTACTCCTCACAGTGGCTGAGCACGTAGCAGGTGCTCATTAAACACTTACTCATTGACTTCCCTCTGCCTCCATTGTCTGCTCCCATCACAAGCATCCTGTTCTCTCTCCACCCTTTCACTAGGTTCACCATCTTGATGCAGAGACATGGAAGGAGGTAGAGGTGGTTCCTATTGACATTGCTGATCGGACGCAAGTGTCTGATGAGGTAAGTGAAGTAGATCTGGGGACCGGAGGAGAGGCCATGCCTAGGCCTCAGGAAGGACAGAGGGCTGGGAACAAAGGCCTGGAGACCCTTTGGGAGGAGGTTGAAGTTTCTTTCACAGCTCCCTCTCTCCCTTCCAGGATTATAAACCAGAAGAGGACCCTGCTCTCTTCAGGTCTGTCAAAACAGGACGTGGCCCTTTGGGACCCAACTGGCAGGTAGACTGTTTCTTTATACTTGCCCAAACTGGGCAAGGCTAGGCCAGGTAGAGGCTTGGTCCCCAAAAAACTATTGGGTCAGCAGTGTATCTACGTTTATATCTTTGTACAGAGGGAATTGTTGAAACATCCACCCCACATGTGTGCCTACAAACTGGTGACTGTCAAGTTCCGATGGTGGGGGCTCCAGGGACGAGTGGAGAGCTTCATCCATAAGGTTGGAGGAGGTGGATAGGGTGGCCTTGGGTTCTGACTCGGAGGGTGGGAGACAGGAGACCAAGATTCATTCAGGCTCTTACATAAAAGGCTGAGATAAAGATGTAAAATCTTTTAGCTCTGACACAGGTAGGGGCCTGGGAACAATGGAACCCTGGGTCTTTGTGACAGATGGGCTCATGTTGGTGTACTTTCAGAGTAACGTATTATACTCTGAGATGACAGGAGAGACTAGCGTGTGATCTATCTTTTTGTCTTTTCCCTGCTCTGGATAGAAGGAGGGGAAAAACCTACTTAGATCATTGGAGCACCCTAAGCCTCCCATGTATAATGAGGTGACTTCCTGTCTGGCTGAGAGTGAGCCTGTAGTTGTAGAACAGCTGGATAAATCCCCCATTGGCTTTGGGGCATTCTTGGTCCACAGAAAGAGCACCATGTCTAGAGAGAATCATGACCCCAACTTAGGCCATGGGGAATTACAGCATAGTATAGGAAGTTAAGTGTGAGCCCATCTGGGACTAAATCCACATCTTTATTTTGCACTGTCATCTTCTCCTAGGGAATTATTTCTGGATTTGTGTATTCTCTAGAAAGACAATCTTGTGATCTGGAGTGTAGGTTGATAGGGTGGAAAGGAAAGAGGGCGTGGCTTCTAAAACCAGGTGTCTGGTAAGAGTTGCAAGTAAATGGAAAAAAGAGATGTAGATTGGGTTTATGACATCACTCAACCCAAGGAACTAGGCATACTGAAAGATAAGGCAAAGTCCAGAGGCTTGGTGCCTACTGTTGGACATCAGAAAGATGAGAAATTAGGGCCTAGAGCCAAAAGCAAGATCGCTTGGACCAAGTCCAAAGAAGTGCTCTTGCCCCATGAAGCTGATCAAGACCATTGGGGCCTAAGGCCTGTGAAGAACCGGGTCAGAACAGTGCACTGACAGGGAGAGTCGGTGGATTCTTGCATCTTGGTTGTGCGTGCTGCTTCTCGTAGAACCCTCCCCCTCTTCCCACAGCAAGAAAAGCGGCTCTTCACCAACTTCCACAGGCAGCTGTTCTGTTGGCTGGATCAGTGGGTTGATCTGTCCATGGAGGACATCCGGAACCTGGAGGAGGAGACCCAGCGAGAACTGGACCAGGTAACAGTTCAGCATGGCAGGTAGATGGGGAGAACTGGGAAAACTGACCAGTCAGTCGGCACGTATTGATGCCCCATTACTGTAATCTCAGCACCGAACCAGGGGCCCAGTGGACCTCCTGGAGGACAGGGTCCATCCTATCTTTCTATTTTTTTTCTCTGATGCCTTGCCTGTAGCAAGCAATCAATAAATGTTTGAATTAATTGAATAGGGAGGTGTTAGGAGAAAGAGAAGACTTGGAGAGCTTACTCTGCCCTGAAGGAGCTTACAACCTAGAGACTGATAGATAACGCTGTATGATTTAGATTGGTTTTCCTGACAACAGCCATATGAATGAGGTAGCGCCAAGTATCGTTATCCCCATTTTGAAGAAAAGGAAACTGAAACTCAGGTTGCCCATGGTCATACAACGAGGGAGTATCTGAGGAAAGAGTCAAACCCAGGTCTCCTGATTCTGAGGTTAGGAGCAGAATATTCTAATAGAGGAGCAAAGGTGCCAACTAAGGCAGATGAATCCAGGACCGCTCCTCGCCCAACCCACGTTAAAAGAGGGTTCTCAAGTAAGGCAAGGTAGGGTGATTCAAAAGAGCTCTGAGAGCTCTGGGTTTTAACTAGACTGCATCTCCCGCCATACGTTGTTGGGCAAGCCACTTCTCTGCAGGCGTGTGTTTCCTCCTCTGACAATGAAGGAGATGGCCCTGCTGACTGCTAAGCTCCCTTTGGTTCTAGTGTTCTGTGGGTGTATTTCTTGTTATCCATCTGATCCTGTGTCTGACTCCTCTTGCTCTTTGGTTCTGCCTCCAGACCTCCTAGTATGGTTTTAGCTCCATTTCTTTGGTTCAGTCCCCAGGGGAGATTTGAGAAGAGATAGTAAGCGAAAGAGTTCTGGTGCTAGCCCACCAGGAATACTCTCTGGAGTTAGCATTTTAGATTATTTTTTTTATTAATTAATTAATTTTTAGTTTTCAATAATCACTTTCATAAGCTTTTGAGTTTTATATCTTTCTCTCCCTCCCTCCCAAAGACATCGTGCAATCTAATATAGGCTCTGCATATACATTCCTATTGAACATATTTTCACATTAGTTATGTTGTTATTTTTTTAAGTGTTGTTATTATCCCCTTTTTATTTTTTTTTAATTTTTATTAATTCAGTTTTAATTTTCAACATTCACTTCCATAAGCTTTTGAGTTTTAAATTTTCTCCCCCTCCCTCCCCAAGATAGTGTGCAATGTGATATAGGCTCTACATATACATTCTTATTAAACATATTTTCACATTAGTCATGTTGTAAAGAAGACTTAGAACCAATAGGAGGAACCACAAAAAAGAAGAAACAAAACAAAACAGAAGGGAAAAAAAGAGCAAATAGTATACTTCGATCTGCATTCAAACTTCATAGTTCTTTTTCTGGATGTGGATAGCATTTTCCATCATGAGACCTTTGGAGATGTCTTAGATCCTTGCATTGCTGAGAAGGGCTGAGTCTATTGAAGTTAGTCATCACACAACGTGGCTGTTACTGTGTACAAGTTCTCCTGGTTCTGCTCACTTCACTCCGCATCAGTCCATACAAGTCTTTCCAGGTTTTTCTGAAGTCTGCTTGCTCATCATTTCTTATAGCACAATAGCATTCCATTACATTCATATACTAGATTATTTTTAAAGTGATGTATTGGAACCTGGGAACAAAGCTGAAGAGGAAGAAAAAGTGGGAAAAAATATAGGCGATATGTGGTCACAAAACTAGGAAAGGTACATATTAGATTGGGTAGGGGTTCCCATTTCCTAGTGAGGACAAACACCACCAGCTCCCATAGCCTCCATTCTCATTCCACTCTGGGTTTCAGATGCGGAAGACGGGACCAGTGAGGGGCATGAGAGCCAGTGATGACTGAGACCTCAGCCAGACCTGGGCAGGTAAGGAGGGCCCTGGAAAGGTCTGCTTGGGAGGAGGAGGTACCAGGCTGCCTTTGAACATGGTAGAGTGCTGGTCAGTGGTGTCCTGCTTGGTGAAATGCCAGGCTTCAGGTGCCTCTGTCCTCCTTGCCACCACCACCCAAGGACCTGGGGGGTTCACCTGGGCTGAAAACTTGGTGCCTTATCTCCTCTGTATCCCTCCTCAGTAGTGAGTCATCAGCAAGACCATATTCAGGCCAGTTGTTTAGAGTGCACGAGCCTACTTTAACTCCAGTGTGAGGATGCTCAGGGTCCAGACTCTACAGGTTGGTAATTGCAGGTGCCCAGCATAGTTTCAGAGTGCAGTCTTGTCCAGCTTAGGAGGTAAGTCTTAGAGATTTCATAGGTTGGGATTCTTTTTTCTTTAAAATTTTTTTAAAAATATAAACATAGTAGCCATCAATAAAACCAAATATTCATATATGTGAACAAAACTTTTCTTAATGAAGTACCTAAAATTCCAGTCTACCAGACCTGGATTCTTCTACCAAGTTCCCCTCATACCAGCCCCGTTGTGATTTAGGGTCATATCTGCCCTGCTCCCTGAGAAATTTGTTCTTTTTAGTTCCCCTTGCTTCTGCCCTCAGCAAAAGGCAGAGCTCTGTTTCCAAGTTCTCTGTCTCCCAACCTCAGAGGAAATAGGCCCTTTCTGCCTGGGTCTCCGGGCAGTCTGCCCCAAAAGGAGGCTTCTGATCAGTTAGACTCTGCTGGTCCCCCATCCCCCTGCCCCTACTCCCTTCTGCTACTCTCCTGCCAATTTTTCTTATATCATCTCATTTCTCTCCTTTGTTGCCCCCTGATTAATCCCAGTGTACCTTGTTTCAAAATTATCTTTTCACTGATTATTTACTCTCTTTTCTTTGGCATACATTTGTGTATGTGAGCTCTTTGGTTTACTTAGAACATACATCTAATCTAGGGAAGATTCAGTAAAAACATGAATGGGAGGGGCAGCTAGGTGGCGCAGTGGATAGAGCTCTGGCCTTGGAATCAGGAGGACCTGAGTTCAAATTCGGCCTCAGACACTTGACATGTACTAGCTGTGTGACCCTAGGCAAGTCCCTTAACCCTGATTGCCTCAACCAAAATGCAAAAAAAAACCCCAAAACAAAACAAAAAACCAAACCGTGAATGGGGGAGTTATTCATTATACCCCATCTCAGGAAAAACCAAACCCACATCCCACCCTGCCTTCTCAACTTCTTCCTCTCTTATACCCAGGTACCTACCCCGAGATGGAAAATTGAAGGGAATTTGGTGCAGTGTCGACCCAGTAGGCAGGAGGAAAGAGTGAAGCTGCTGCTTTTGGGGTGGGGTGGCAAGGATGGGATGCCTGTCTGCTCCTCTCCAGCTCTATCCCACCATTCTCTCCTACCCTGGAGCATTTGCCATTCCCAGATACCTGGGGACCGAGAGTTGGAGTAACATTCCAGGGCCAAACACTACAACCGCTGCTCCCTTTCAAGCCTGGAAAGGACACAGGAAGTAGGGACAACTTGATTTACCACTGTTCCTGATGCCAATGGAGTCAATGCTGCACAGTAATAAAGTCCACATGGGCCCCTGGGCCTCACGTTGTTGTCTGTGAGGGTGTGTGTGTACTTTGAGGGGTGTAGGGAGGTGGGTCTTTACCTCCTGTCCCACCCTGCCCTTGGGCCCTGGCTCCACTGACCCTGCCCTGGGCCCAATAATAATAATAATAGCTTACATTTATGTAGTGCTTCATTTGGTCCTTGTAGAAACCATATGAGGCAGGACAAGGAACATCTCTATTTTACAGATAAGACTGAGAGTCAGAGAGGCTATGAGTTGATCAGGGTCTAACAGAAGTAAGTAGTCAGCAGGAAATAGAACTGGAATTTTTTGACCACTAGTTCAGTGTCTTTCTCAAGACCCCGTCAGTTCTAAAGACATGGAGCACCCCCTTCAGCTCCATGCTTCTCAAGGACCCAGAATAGGCTCTTTTCTCCCTCGGTGATTCAAGGGAACCCATTCCTGGCTCCTGGTTTTTCTTTGTGCCACAGGGTGAGTTGTGGGGAGATACCTTTTCTGTCTTCAAAGTGATGAGTAGAAGAAAGAGCTTTGTCACCTGGGAGCTGACTCCATAGAGGTTAGGGATTTCTGTCTCCCAGTAGTAGCAGGATTTTGAGGCACCCATGGGAACCCAGAAAGAGAGCCTCGCTTGTCTTCATGGTGAGCTCCTTAGGACACAATTGTAAAGCCCCTCCCACCCCAAGGAAAAAAAATGTGGGGCTGTGTGAGGGAGAGGGAGGCCTGGATTTGATTTCTCTGCTCAGGACACAGCCACTTGTTAACTAAAGCAGTGTCCAAGAGTTCACATTTTTAAGAACTGTATTGAGGAGGAAAGGAAGTAAGATGCCTAGCAGAACAAAATTTTGGAAGAACCAAAATACCCAGAAGTGAAAAATGTCCAGCTAAGTTCTAGCTGCTGTGACCTTTCCTTTGCCTACTAAGGGGGATCAGGCCATGTGGTCTATAAGAAGGATAGCTAGTTCATTCTGGAGGTGAAACCTAGCATCCCCCTTGTGCTGACCACTTTGCTGAACCCAACTTCCATCTACTTTCTTCCCTCTTTAGACCTCTACACCCTTCTTAATCATTCAGTGACCCCCATCTCTGATCCTTCCAACTGCTTCCCTTGACATATTTCTTTAAAAAAAATTTTGAATTCATAGGAAAAAGAAATGAAGTTCTTTGTCCAAATAGCATCTCATTATGGAGGTGACTTGGGAAAGATCATACACCCTTCAGACAGCCCTGGGTCTCTCTTCCTCCATGGCCATTGATTCCTGGAAGCCCTTAGTTCTCCAGAGTGACTAGGTTCCTGGGGAAAAAATTGGTATTTCCCTGGCCTGGAGAGCCAGCTCGAGTAGTGCCCATGCTAAAGGACTGTAGGAGGGAAGCATGGGGAAGCCCCCTCTGGTTTCTTTCTCACTGCCAGGGACCTAGCTGGGAAATCCCACAGGCTGTAAATGGAAAGTGGCAGCAGTTGCCGTTGGGAAGAATAAGAAACCCCCAATACTGCTTCCCCTCCCAAAGGTGGGAAATCCAGGGGAAGAGAAGGACAGGAAGCAGAAGGCAATCCTAGGATCTTAATGGGCTGGCAAGCCTAAGGACTGTAAGGATCATTACCAGTGAGGACAGTTTTCTCATGTATCCCAGCCACACCCCTAACTTTGGCCATGATATCAATCTTTAATACCAGCCATCAACTGATGAATAAAAGACAGATTTTGTAATCCCACAGATTTTCTTTTAATCCCAGCCACAGACTAACCCCTCATCTTGGTCATATAATGACTCCAGCTGTGGCCACAGATTGACTCAATCCTAGCCTCAAATTGACCCCAAATCCAACCACTGATCCCTAACTTGACCATAGACTGATGCCAGCCATGGGTTAATTCCCTAACAACCATAGCCTGATACCCTAACCAAGCACAAGGTATTAAAATTCTATAATCTGAAAAAGAGTCAGAATAAGTGTGAATCTTTCAGTACAACTTGTTCCCTTCCACTCTTGATGGGGGAAAGCCCTCAAAACTATTTTTCTTGTGGCTGCCTGGTCAATGTCATTTAATGGGAAAGACAGCCTCATTTTAGAAATGTGCAAGAAATGGGCAGGTAATTTATGTCTGCAGGAAAAACAGATGGACATACCATACTGCTAATGCAGCGAGTGTTCTGTAAAGAGTCTGAACTGTTAAAAATTCAAAGAGGGTGAGATGATGCGAGAATCGAACTGGAGATGGTAAACGGCAGAGAGGAAGAGCTGAGACCCAGCTACCTAAGGAGGAAGCCAGTCCATTATCCCAACCCCTATGTTGCCAAAAAAACTCCAGGCCCCCTGACTATGGGAAGGGAAATTACATTTCCCCATTTCAGAGGAGATCGAGAGCAAAGCCGAAAGTGTAAGTAGGAGGGAAACTGAAAGTGGGGGCTGGCCCCCCGTATAAGAACCCCAAGAAGGGGGATGGCTGGTAAGAAAGACATTGGCGGAAGATGAGAGACAGGAGCTGGCGTGAGTCATGGAATAGGGAGTAGACTAATTGAGCCTCTGGAATTGAGGGATTTGGGGATGAAGGGTGGATTTTGGGATGTGTGGGCCAAAGGGTTTGTGGCATAGAACCAAGGACCAAGGGGAAAAGATTCCCTGAAAGAGAAGACAAGATAGAGTTGAAGGGAAAAAGAGGGCACAGTATGGTAAGGCAAGAGGGTGGGGCCCTAGTTCTACTGGAAAGGGGTTACGGGGCAGGCAGGGAGTCTTGCTCCCAATAGAGGACCATGGTGTTGGGGGCAAGGGGCAAGTAAGATCTGTAATGAAACTATAGACCAAGACTGAGTGGAGGAATCTATTTTACTTGGCATAATGAAGTCTAGGGGTCTAAGGGGTAGGAATGGGCTATTTAGGGGCCACTTCAGCTTCTGGTCATAAAGCCCCTAGGTAAGTAGGTTTCTCCATTGAGTTTCAGGCTGTATGACTGCCATCTCACAAACTTGATTCTTTGTAGGGGGAGAAATAGTGGTGCTAGATTTCCTCTTCCAGAACAATATTAAACTGGAATCTAAGAGCTAAGAATCACAGTGGTCCCTCATCCCAAATATAGGACTGTCTGGTTGATCAAGGGGAGTGATGATACTTCAACTCTCTTGATCCCATCCCCTGAAGGGCTTCCCGTGCAACTGAGATGGGAAGAATAAGTCCTCTTGAGTACTGGAACCCAGGATGAACTACACAATGGAGAAGGCAGGAATGGAGAAGGAAAAAGCCAGGTTAAGGTGTAAGAGGTGGGGGCATTCTTTATCTGGGGAGAGGGATGGTTAGAACATGGACAAGGATGAGATCAATGGCAGAGTTTTGGTTTGTATTTAGTGGAGAGTTGGGTAACTCCAGTAATTAAAAGATTTTCTTTTCCTGAAAGAGAAGCCCCAGACCACTAATTCTTTCAGACTCCTATCCCTCTACCCCTTCTACTACTCCCCATTCCTGCCCTCCCACCATCCTTTATTTCTCTTTCCCACCCCCTAATCCTGTCCTTCAAGATTTTTCCCTTCCTCAATCCTTTCCCCTAACTTACATCTTCTGTCTCTCCCTCTGACCCATACCTCTCTCCCCTTCCTTAACCTTTAATCCTCTATCTTTACCTGACCACTTTCCTAACCCTATTATCCCTCCATTCAGTCCCATGCCTGTGTACCCTTCTCCAACTCTCATCCCTTTTTCAACCTTCATTCCTCTGTCCTTACAAGGTTCACCCAAAAGTAACATTCTTCTCTTTGATTTCCACCCCTGTCCTTCTGACCCTATTCTTTGTCCTTACTCCAACATCCACTCATTTTCTCTTCACCTCAACCCTCATCCCTCTGTCCCTCATCCATTGATATTCCCCCAACCCTTTCTCCTGAACCTCCATGGTCTTTCTTCCCCACCTTGTTGTCTGTTAATTTAAAGATTTAGCAAATATTGAAGTACCTTCTCTGTGGAGAGCACTGCGCTAGTATAAAAATTAAATAAAGACCTTTCTCTCATTCATAGAGCTCACAACTTGCATGCATGCACACACACATGCACACACATGGATAGACATTCACATTTCTGTAGTTCTTGCCCCACTAATCCCATCTCTCTTTTCTACTTCTCAATCCTCCATTCCTTTCTCCAAAAGTCCTTTCCCTATCACAGCCTCATTCTATCTGTTCCCTAGATCTCTATCCTTGTTCCTTTTCAACCTCTGATGTTCTAGATCAGGAGGGAATCCAATATATTCTGGGAAGTCTGAGTAGTCCCAATCCTACTGGACCCCCAGATTTACCACCCCTCTATACACACACCTATCCAGCCAGGTAAAAGGGAGCCCAAACTCATTGGTTCCTTGGGATTGGGATGCCCTAGGAGCCCCCTGCCATACTCTGGGAGCCCTGGGCCAGGCTAATCTTTCTCAAAGACCATTAGAGTTGGAGCCAGCTGTGCTCAGCATCCTCTTCAACTGCTCATTCACTCCCTTCTCCCCTGTTCTACTTTCTCCTGATCTCTTGTTCTCTTCCCTTTTTCAAGGATTTAATCTCTTGCTGCTCTCCTTGCTCGTGAGCAAAGCTGTCATCTGGGGGTTCCCATGGCCTCGAGGGCAACCTCCACATGGTTTGCTGGACATGAGGAGTGAGTTCAAGATCAGCCTGAGGCTTGCCAGAAAGCTGCTTTCAGAGATCCGGGGTATTGCCCACCTCTTTGTGAGTCAACAGAATCCAATTGACTAGGGAGTGGAAAAACTTGCTGAGGCTTGGTTGGCAGGAGGTTGGCAAGAAAAGCCACCTTGGAGAGCTCCCCCCCCCATTAAACTTTTGCTTCTACAGGCAGATACTCATCTGGTTGGGGTGTCCTTGGACTTCCTACCCCTGAGGGAACAGCTTCCTAATGTTACCATGACATTCAAGACCTGGCTTCAACTTTCAGTAAGTTAGGGAAGAGGATGTGCTGTCAGGGTTGAAGTTGAAGAAGCTCCTGAGGGTGAGGATGGGGTTAGGGTTTTGAGCATGAGGATGATGATGGATGAGGGACTGAGATAGGGAGTAGTGGATAAGACTGAGATGGATAGGATAGGGTGGAGGAGGGGTATGAAGGGCTGGGATATGGGATGAGGATAAGGATAGGATAGAATGGGGATAATGATGAAGGTATAAAATGTGATTGGCAATGGAGGATGAGGAGGGGTTTGAAGTAGTTGCACAGAAGAAGGAATAAAGAAAATGGTGGGCTAGAGATGGAGTTGGTGTTTGAAATGATCTTATGATTGAGTCAAAGCCTGGGTGTCAGGGTTCTGTGTTGAGAACTTTTGATCCCCTGCCTTAACCCTATTTTCCTGTCTGATTCTTCCTTTCCCAGGACCCAGATCGACTTTGTTCCCTTTCCAGACTTCTGGGCCACTTCCAGGATCCTCTAGGAGAACTAGAGAGCCACCAGGGCTGGCAGGGTTCCCTGAGGAAACGGCTGTGGATCGCTCAGCTGGACCTTAGAGACCTGCAGTCACATGTCCATTTCCAGGTGTGGCCACCCTTCCCTCTGCCCTCTAGGCTCACTGATATCCTGAGCAACTCTCTGCTTTTATCCTGGTCTGTGTGAGACCCTCTTGATCACTTGTCTCTTGTCATAGATGAAGGCTACAGGATACAGTCCTCTGGAGCATAAGGAAACACTGGGTCCGGAGGAGAGGGCCTTCGGAAGACTTTCTCTCACTGCGCACCAGGTCTCCTGGCCACAGCTCCTGAGCACCTACCAGCTTCTCCGATCCCTGGAACTAGTCCTTGCCCGAGCTGTCCGAGATTTCCTTCTGCTCTCAAGGGGGATTGCTCACACACAGTCCCTGGCTACTTAAGAAGTACAGTCTTCAACCAAGGAGTGATGACCCTCTACTACCTGTATCACCTTCCAGGATTGTTTCCCTCCCTCCCTTACATTTGGTTTCCAACCTGAGGCCAAGCTTCCTGCCCTGAGCCATTTGGGAGGGAGAGATCCCAGATTTTAGTCCAATTACCCATCCCCTGCCAGTGGTATCATCTCTGGTTAGGAGACTGACTTGTGCCCCTTTGGGTTCTCTTCCATCTCATCTGCTAAGCCCATTCCCATTCCATAATTTAAGAGCCCTTCAAGTTCAGAGAAGATATTTATTTCTTGGATATTTATTTATTTTTCAGGAAAGTGTTGCTTGTATTTATTCTTTTTTGCAAAACAAACAAACAAACAAAAAAAACAAACCAAGGATAGTCTTCCTTCAAGAGTGAGATCATATACTCGTTCTTGGGCAACCTAATAATAAACACTCACAACCCCTCTTTCTCTCTTTCTCCTCTGAGCACATAAGTCCTCTGGGTGGGCCCTATAGCAGAAAGTATGGTCACTTGGGAACAGGAAAATAGAGGGGAGAAAAGCAAAAGGAGATAAAAGCAGAAGGTCTTCAAAGGTAAAGTGCCCATGATCATCTGCTACCCCCTCATTGTCATTGCATGGAGCTCTTCCTTCTCTCTGGGGTAGAACTGTCTTTGAAGGGCCAGTTTGACCTTACTCAGCTGTGGTGGCTGCTGTGGCAACTAGCCTTGCTAGGGTTTTAACAAATGTCCCAGTGCTTCTCTGGGCTACGGCTGCCTTGGGGATGGGGGTGTGTTTGGTGCCCCTGCCTGGTCCTCTTTCCTAGTCCTTTGCTGAAGCTATCTCAAACAACTCCGCTCTAGGTAGCCCAGGCTGACATTCATTCTAGGATCCCTGGGCTTCTGGCACATTCCCTCTCTCCCCTATTTCTTGTTAGGACAGTATGGAGGGAATAATCCACATCTGGACCCTATGTCCTGAGGGGAAGTGGGACTTCCTAAAGTAATAGGGATGATAGGCAGATACCACAAATGAAAGTCAAACCATCATTCTTTCTTTCAGTCTTTGATCTGTGAGCAAATCCTATAATAGCTTTCTAAGGGTCTAGGTATTTGTGTTCAAGGATGGGTGGAGGTAATGGTGGTGGTAAAGCCTTCAAGGGTATGAGACAAATGAATGCAAGTCTCTTTGATTCTTCCTTCAAGCTTCTTCTTCTTCTTTGTTTTCTTCATCTTCTTCTTTTTTCCAATTCCTCACCATCTGGGTGAGATAGGAAAAGCTACCAAGGGCTGGGGCTTCCCTTCTAAGGATCAGAACACATGATTAGAAGTCATCATGAGGTAGGGAGATCACCCCAGGCTTGAAGGTGGGGTTGTGGCCAGAGATCAATGTAAGGGTGGAGAAAGATGGAAGAGGGGAGGGGTATTAGGTTCATGAGACTTCAGGTCACTGGGGCTTGGGCCGTCCCAGACGAGCCTGTAACTCCTGCATCATGCTTGGATGAGCAAGGCCAAACCTGAAGGAGTAAAGATTATGCAGAATTAATAGGTCACGATTGGGTCCCAGGGACTAGCTCTTTTTCCTCCTTCCTCACCCTCACCCACTTCTTACCCATGGCCTAGGGGCCGTTTCCTCGCTGTGACTGGGGTCTCCTCTGGCTTGGGGGGACTTGGCACTGCAGTTTCCTCGGATTGGAGTAGTCTCAGTTTTGAGGCTGGGGATCCCTCATCGGGAAGGAAGCCCAGAGACTCATCGTCATCATCACTGTCACCCTTCTCTGGTGCTGGTGCCCTTCGAAAAGAGGGTCGTGATCGGCGTTGGGAGGCGTTCCTGGAGAGGAGAACTCGACTTCTCGGAATGGAGAGGTCCAGGCATGGACCAGGGATGGGGACCTATGGGAAAGCAAGAGAGAGAGGAATCTTTGGATCATGTCCAAGGTTTGGTCCTAACTGGACCTTGGAATCTCACTAGGTACTTTACTTTATCATTAATATCAATAACGATTATTTAAATTTTAATTATACTTTACAATTATATAGCACTTTACAGTTTTCAAAGTCCTTTTACGTTATCTCACCTCACTCCAGCTGCTCTGGGCTTCATCAGCAGGATTGGGTGCAGGAGACAGTCTTAGCGCTATCGAGTTGGTGGGTGCTGTGGCTTCTGTCTCTCTGTTTTCTGATGCTCCCAGGGCTCCAGAGCCTGTGTCTGCAGCTCCTTCCGTTCCCCTGCCTTGACCAGGCTCAGCTTTCTCTAAGTCCCAGACTCTTCCAGTCTTGTCACTGGATTCCCAGACTCCAGAAGTTTCTGAGTCCTTGTCTCCATCTCCCCAGCCTGCTGCTTTCTCATTGTCAGAGCAGCCAGCAGGCACCAACTCCTCCCTGTTTCCAGCTCCTTGAATGTCTGCCTCTTCTATGTCGTCGCTGCCTTCCATCTTCTCTGTCTCCGGCCTCCTGCCTCCATTAGCCTCTACTTTCTCCATATATTGGTTGTCTGTGGAACTTTCCCCCTCTACAGCATGGCTCCCCCCAGCTTTGGCCTCTGCCTGGGTATTTTCCTCATACCGTTTCTCTTCCTCCTTGGACCAGGTACTCTCAGAGTTCACACCCTGGTCTCCAACCCCCTTCTCTGTTTCCCTGTTTTCCTTGCCCTCTTCAGGCTTTTTCTCTGACTTGATTTGCCCCTCCTTCATCTCTTCCTCCTTCTTAAGCTCCACATCCTTGTTGGTCATTGCTCTCTGTATCTCTGCTCCCTGACAGAAGGCAGATTTCTCTTTTTCACTGTTGCTCCCTGCCTCCTCTTTCTCAGCTATCAAGGATTCTTCAGCATCTGCTGAGCCTGTTCCTTGGCCTCCCTCAGATTCTTTCCCTCCCCTCTCCCAGGTTCTCTCAGCCTCTGATTCTTCTACAACTTGGTCTCTCTCAGTCATTCTCTTGGTTGCTTGGCATTCTTCAGTTCCTTCAGCCTCCCAGAAGCCTTTATTTTCTTCCTCCAGTGCTTCCCTGTCTCCAACCTCTAATAAATTTGAACCTAGACTTTCTCTAGTTTCTGTTCTTTCCTGGCTAGTTGCCTCTTCTGAGTCCCAACCACTTTGGATTTCCTTCCAGTCTCTTTTCATCTTCTGCTCTGTCTCCTGGCTTCTTCCAGCCTCAGCCTCCTTTAAATTCAGGTCTACTTTCTCATTTACTATCTCAGTATTCCATGGGCTTCCAGCATTTCCTTCCCAGACTTCTTCAGCCTCTCTATCTAATGCTCTGCTACTTTTATTCTCCCTCTCCTGACTTCCCTCAACCTCCTTCATCTCCTGGCTTCTTATGACCTCTCCTTCTGTCTCCCAGTATTCTTTAGCTTCCATTGCTTCCCTTTCCTGGAGTTTTCTGGCTTCAGACTCTTCCATTTTATGGCCTCTATCAACCTGTGCCTCTTGGCCTCCCTCAAACTCCTTCTCCCAAACTTCCCTGACTTCTTTTTCCTCCATCTCTGGTTCTGTTGTCCCAGCCTCCTTGGCCCCCCAGCCTGTTTTAACTTCTGCCTTTGGGACTTCTTGCTGTTTGAACTCTTGGCTTCCCTTAGCCTCCCAGTTTCCCTTGTCTTTTCTAGTCTGGGGTGTGAAAACTTCTTCCTCACCCTCACAGCCTCCCTTGTCTTCTATTTCTGTCACTTGGCCACTCACAAACTCTCCTTCCATTATCTTCCAGCTTTTTACTACAACTAAATCCTGTTTTTTCACCTCTTGGACATTTCCATTCTCTGTGTTCTTAATATTTTGGGCACTATAGGCTTCCATCTCACAGCCCTTCAGGGTCTCTCTCTCTGGAATTCTGAACGGTTCCTCCTCTTTTCCTTTGGCTTCTTCCTCCATTAGATCCTGGACTCGCTTGGGCTCTTTCTCTGTCTCTTGGGCTCTCCCACTTTCTGATTCCATGTTCCAGTTTCTCCCAATCTCAGTGTTCTGGTCTTTCCTGTCCTCCTCTGTCCCATAGCTTCCATTGTCCTTTGTGTCTAACTCTTGGCTTTTTCCCACCTCTGCCTCTTTCATTAACTTGGCTCCCTCTACCTCTTTTTCTGGCCTTGTTACCCAAATCTCATTTGAGTCCTCTATTCTTTCTGTCTCCCCAACTTCCTGGGGCCTCTCAGATGCAATCTCCCAGCCTCCCATGACTTCCTTAGCCTCCACTGACTCTATCTCCTTGCTCCTACTAACATTATCGAGTGTTCCCTCCCAGACTGTAGTCTCCTGAATGTCCTGGCCTCCATTTTGCTCTTTCTGATTCTCACAGCTTTCCCCAGCCTCTCCCTCCAAGCCCCAACTTCCTTCAGCTTCCATCCCTGATTCTAGAACTTTCACAATCTTCTTTTTTTCCAGGACCCAGAAGTCTGTCACTTCTTCCTCTCTCCCTGTTTTTTGGATTTGAACTTGCTCTGGGAATGGGTTTTCCTCAGTCTCTCTCTCCTTATCTTTCTTCTTCTCCCAGTCTTTCCCAGCTGCTTCTTCTGTGTCCCAGCCCCTTCGAATCACCTCCATGTTCCATTCTCCACTGATCTCCATATCCTCTGCCTTCCAGGTTTCCTCAGCTTCTTTTTTTGGACTTGTTTCTGCTGTCTTTGACTTTACAGCTTCCCTGGCCTCAGCTTTCTCTATGACTGAAGTTATCCAGACCTCAGATTTTATGTTGTCTTCTCTCTCAGTCTTTTCTCCTGGCTCCTGGATTCCTTGTAGTTTTTCTATATCTATATCCACTGGCTTTACACCTTGGACTTCCCAAGCCACTTTCTTTTCTATTTCCTTTTTTGCACATCTGATCTCAATCTTCTCAGCCTCCCAAGCTACCTTGACCTCATGCTTCTCTAACTCCTGTTTTTCAGGAGTTTCTACTTTCTCATCTTTCCCAAATCCTACCCCCAGTGCTCTATCAGGTCCCTTCTTGGTCTCATGACTTTTCCTGGTTTCCATTTCTGTCTTCTGGCCATTCCCTGGCTCTCCTTTTTTCATCCTCTGGGCTTTCTCACTTTCTCTTGTCTCTTGCCAATCTCTGATATTTCCTTCTGCCTCCTGTGTTTGCCTGTCCTTTTCCTTCTCCCACATTATTCCATACTCAGACTCCATCCCGAAGGCTATCAAAGTCCTTTCTTCAAGATCTCCTGGCTTTATCTCCTTGACTTCTTCCTTCTGTTCTCCCACAGGCTCAGTTTCCTCCCTTTCCCAGTAGTTCTCAGCCTTCCCTACACTGACTTCCTTCTTATGAGGCTCTTGATTTTTCTTGCCCTGTGCTTTTGGCTCTCTGCCACCCTTTTCTTCTGAGGCAAATCCTTCTGTCCCCGGGTATCCTTCAGCCAAGAGTGCTTCCTTTTTGCATTCTCTAGCCTCTACTGCATCTGTCTTTTGACCTTGCTTGGGCTCTGCTCCTCGGACTTCTATCTTGTCGTTCCCTCTGATCTCTCCTTTAACCTCTTTGGAATTCTCGTTGCTGCTGTCCCAAGTTCTACAGACCCTGGTCGTCTCCTCACTCAGGCATGCCCCAGTCTCTTTCCCTATCTCCCAGATTCCCTCAGCCTCTGATTCCTGGATTTCCCTGGCCTTTTTTTCTTTCCCTTTCTCCAAAGCCTCTCCGGACTCGGACCCTCTAGAGGGAAAAGCATCTTCCAGATCTCTGGGGCTGATCCCTTCCTCTTCCAGTGCTCCCTTACACTCCTTCGCTTGCTGGCCCCCTTCTGCAGTCATTTCCCAGAGCTCCTCCCCTCTCCCCCCATCTCTCCTGCTGAGGTTCTCCTCCCTTTCCTCTGCAGAGGGAACTGCGTCCCCTAAGAAGTAGGAAGCAAAGGTGCTTAGGGAGTCCTGGAATGAGAAAAGGAGGCAGGGATGAAGTATGAGGGCAGAGAATAGTGACCTCCCTCACCTCAACTTTTTGTTCCAGCTACATCATGATTCTAGGGGGAAAGAGAAACTGTGGGTACCAGGACAAGAAGAGTGAGGAGCTCAGTTTAGAGAGGTGTTTCAACAGAAAGAAGAGAGAGAGAGAGAGCTAGCAAAGGCAAGGCAGCTATGAGAGGTCTGCGGAAAGTGGGGGAGGGAATAAGATACAGTAAGTCCTGCAGGAAGAGAAAGGACAACACAAACAGTAGGCATAAAAAGAAAAGTGAGTCTGTGTTGAGAGTGAAGGTGATTGTTATCAGGGAAATTGGAACAAAGAAGAGATAGAGGTCTGGGTTTCCAGGAGGAAAAGGTTCTTTTAACTGGGACAGGAATCAGGGATCTTGTTGGGGTAAGAAATCTGATTCCCCAAAAGCATAGATCTAGGATTCTGGGTTGGGGAAAGGGTGTTTGACCTCACATGTTAGGGAAAGGGGTCTAAAACCCTGACATCTCCTTGCCCCTCTCACCAGAGCATCCCTCAGGGCACGGTGCACCCCAGGGAAGTGAAGTCTCAGGAGTTCCATCGGTCTGTCTTTTTGTCCAAGCAGAAAGCCTGTAATGACCTTCCCCTCCTCAGTCATCCTACCTTCCCCCTAGTGTTGCTACTTCCTTTTCTGCCCTGACCCCTCCCATTCACCCCCAAACACCATAGGCTATAGAGTCCTGTACTTCAATAAATACAAAACTGTACCTGCCCCCTTTAAATCTGGGAGCTGTAAGTGCATGGACAGGCTGCAGGATACAAATTGGGGAGAGGGGACCTAAGGCTGGAGAGAAAAGAAAAGAGCAGAAAGCTGTCCCGATTGGGGAGGGTGGGGATAAGAAACATGGAAACTAAAGCTTTGGTGACTCAACTTCTTGTGCTAATACACCTCAGCTGTTTCAGCACCCCCTAGCCCCAACTCAAACCACAGGCCCCTCTGGGAGAGGAAGTTGGGGTTTGTGGTTCCTGCTTCCATCTAAGATGAGGGACTGTGAGTGGGGGAAGGGGAAACAAATGGAGTAAGAACAGTGAGTTTAGTGCCCGTGGGAAGTCAAGGCAAAGGTTACCAGCTTCACCTTAGCCCTCCAATCTTGCTGGATGAAATTCTCAATGTGACACCCATGGACCCATGCTAGTATCTAGGGCACTGATGGGAATTGAGAAACATGTGCTCACTCTAAGTCAAATAGAAGACTGAGCTCAAGAAATGGCAGCTTAGACAGTAGCAAAGTACTTCAAGAATCAGATGTCACATTAGCTTAAGGGCTTCTGCTGGGTATTTGATTGCCGATGTGGGTCTGATTTATATAAGGACTGAGATGGTCCTGGGACTATGAACTAAAAAAGAGTTGAGCCCACTTCCCCAGTGGTCAAAGAGCACCAACAGATGGCAGTAGAGCTTGGGGGAGAACAGCCTAACAGAAGACATCAGTATCATTTATCACAGCTTGATGACATCATCAGAACAGATAACATGAGCAGTCCTATGGGGGAAAAGCAAATGGTAGGTTTAGAGGCAGAGAACTATAATCAGAAGGACTTTGGAGTGTATTGATATGTGTGTTCCCTCTCTAACCAGTAGAAAAAAACAAATGTGAAAATCTGTAGGTTCCTGTGTATGGGCAAAGGTTTTTTTTTTCTCCTTGTCATTTATCTTGCTATGCTATTTAATTAGTATCTTTTCTTTTAAACTAATGTGTCTTCTGGTTGGTCTAGTAAAAAGGAAATTGGCACATAAGAGTTATGATTTTGAATAGATGCCGGCTCAAGGCATGCCTTCGGCCTGGGGTTGCTTTCTTGGGACCCTACATTCAATTCAAGAGAATTCTGGGTCACAAAGTGTAGGGGGGGCAAGTGAGGGGAAGTCAGAGTTCAGAGCACTGAATTCTTTTGGGGGATGCCTAGAACACTTCCTGGGGCAGAGTGAGGGACTCTGGACTGTAATTGGTAGATGCTGGAACTCTATGCCTATATTGTGGGAGGGAGGGTCCTGTTAGTAGATGACAGACTTTTTAGTCATATTTAACAGGGAGAGGTGGGGTTTGGGAGGGATAAAACCTCAGTGAAAGGCATCGTAATATAGTAAAAAGTGAATTGGATGCAGGACATTTTTTTTTTGCATGACTTCATATTTGCTGCAAGGGTTTTGTTTTCTAAAGGAGGATGTGAAAAGAAAATAATTTTTCATTAATTAAAAACATTTTAAAAATGCATTAGATTTGGGTCAGAAGACTATGATTTGAATTCTAGTGCTGTTACTTACTACCTCTGTGACCCGCAACAAATTGCTCTGGGATACAGTTTCTTCATCTCTATGACAAGGGGCTGGCTACATGACCTCTGAGATTCTTTCTAGACCCAAATCTATGATCCTTTGATCCCGTTCTGAGCTCTGAGGTCATCTACAAAGCAGGGTTGGTTTATTTTCTTCTGTTTTTGGTGAGGGGCAGGGCTCCTGTAGCAGTTTGGTAGTGTATCTGTTTCCACTTGTTAATGCACCCTCTGGCAGTGTATTGGAGTACATTCAAGCACTTTTGCTTTAACACCTAAGTTCCCTTCTAATTCTAATTCAATTCAATGGATGTAAAGGTAAGTACAATGATTGAACAGGTTGGTTGTTTTTTTTTCTGACTAGGGTACGAGAGTAGGGGAGCAGGGTTTTTAATAGTCACCCAGAGTGAAATCTTAAGATATGCCACCAGTGCGCAGTCGAGGGAGCTTTGGCTATCGCTACCCGGGGCTTGCTTTCTCGTGGGTGCTTTTTCTTCTAGCCTGGATCTCTAGGCTTACACTGGAAAATACCTTCACCTCCTTCTAGGCTAAGTCTAGGCTTTACAATGGAAAATCATCATCACGCAATATTTCATAAATTTACCACAATTGTCTCCTGTCCCTGTTCCGTATTGTCTAATCTCCTTCCCACATATGTGATCCAAAAGAAAAACACACTGGTATTATTGTTTATATTTACTGAAGGAAATTTAAATTAAAAAGTATCAGATTACAATCTTTACGAGGGGTGGGGGAGAGAGAATCATTATCCTCATTTTATAGATGAAGAAACTGAGGTCCTGCCAAGGATCTCACAGCTAGTGTCTAAAGTTGGATTTGAACTCAGGTTTTTCTGACCTGAGAGATTCAGCGCTGCACCTAATTGTCACCGAGCTGCCACAAGAAATGTTAACATTTATTTCGCCCTTTAAGGCTTACAAATCACTTTAACAACAATCCATCAAAGCTGGAAGAGGTTAAGACCAGGCCATATGGCTAGCTAGGGTCGGGGCGGGATTGCATTTAGGCTCTGCCTCACAGTTCACTACTTGGCCCACCCTCTCACAATACGAAGTGGGGTGTGACAAGGGGCAAAGGAGAGAGGACCAGGAGAGCTCCTGTGAGATGCTCTGTGAAGACTGCAGGAGGGAGGGATCGCATTCACTTCTTGCTCTATCTACGTTAGGATTTTAAAGGTAAAGGATCGCAGCGGGACGCAGCCATCTTTGTTCCTAGCAAGTGGTCGGGGAGGGGGCCTCCCTGACTCCAACTGGCAATGGACCAAACGGCTCTGGAGCCACAAAAGGGCAAGCAAGGTTCACGGCAGGTCCGACCCCGCCAGTCAGGACGTCCATGAGCTCGGCTCTGCCGCTAGCTGCCTGCCCGCCCGGCCCTGCCTCGGGGCGCTCCCTTGGGCCCCTCTCTGAGTGTCTTAGCTGAGGACTAGAGTCTGCCGGGAGGAACCGGATGGGAGGCTCCACCTGACCGGAAGCGCCTCGCGAAGATCACATGACTCCTAAACTGGTACCTGTTTGTTGCTTGCCCGGGTCTTCTCTGCACTGGCTCGAAGTGCCTGAGGGGTGGGCGCTGGCCAGCTAGCTTATATGGGGCGACGGTAGCCACGTCCTGCAGCCTCGGAGGAGGAGGAAAGACGCCCGACTGGAGAGCGAGTGGGTCAGCTGGCCTGGCCCAGTACCTCCCTTTTGCCCCTCGGAAGTCGGATGAGACCGCCGGGATCTCCTGTCCGGGGCCAGGCTTTGACCGCTGGTGATTGCAGACCCCACCATGGCGTCTGCGGACACGTGGCAGCAGCATTCAGATTCAGAGAGTGAGTATTTCCTGACCAAGGGCCCCTCTGGGATTCTGCTCCCGGCGTCTGATGTCCAGAGAGACCCGGACAGGCCTGGATAACGAGTATGGTCATCCCATGTTGCCGATAAGCACGGAGTGGGGTGATGGTGGAAAGAGTGCTGATGTGGTCAGGTCCGAGTTCGAATCCTCCCTAAACCCCTGTGGTCACCTCTGTGAAGTAGAGAATGTTGTTTCACCCCCCCCCCCCCGGGCTTCATCTTCCTCATAAAACGCGAGATGAGGAGGGGAAGAGATAGGAATGGCCTAAAGTACCTTCCAACTCTAAATCTACAATTTCATTCATTCATTCATTTATTTATTTAGGCTAGGCAGTGGGGTTAAGTGACTTGCCCAGGGTCACACAGCTAGTAAGTGTCAAGTGTCTGAGGCCAAATTTGAACTCAGGTCCTCCTGACTCCAAGGCCAGAGCTCTATCCACTGGGCCACCTAGGTGCCCCCTAAATTTACAATTTTATGAATGCAATAAGTTCAGTGACTTTGTGAAGTGACTTACCCAATATTACATAGCTAGGGGAATATCTGAGCTAGAATTTGAATCCAGATCTCTACTACAAGCCCAGCAGTTTTTCCTTTATCCTCTAGCTGTTCTTTGATGGGTGGATCATTCCTCTCTGGAGCTCCCATTTCCTTATCTGTAAAATGGTTATGATAATAGGGCAATGTCTACTTTACAAAGTCGTTTTAAGGAAAGTGCTTTAAAACTTAAAACCATATAAGAATTAGTTCATAGTATTTGTAACAGTGCCTTTAGTACCTATTTCACGCAGTTAAATGTAAGCACCTTGAGGATATGGTTTGTCTCAACTTTTGTATGTCTCCCCAGCACAGCTTAATTTTGGTAGATTGCTATTAGATTTTGGATCAGATGAGATTATGTGTATAAAACACTTGATAAGCCTTTAGAGCCAAAATGATATTAATAACCCAGCTATTGTATATCAAATAGCCCATTCACAGCTCATAATACTGAGCTGCAATTGATAGAATTTGAGGATTGAAGTGAACTTCTCTCCATCCACACATCCCATGCTTTCCTGAATTTGTATTTTTGGACATGTATTTTGGGAGGGTATCCCTTTGTTAACTCCTAGCTCTTTCTATGGAAATGCTACCCATTCTCCAAGGCTAGGTTTCTTTTTGAAGCCTTCCTGGATTCCCCATAGTTTAAAAAAAATTTTTTTTCAGACCTCACATACATCTTTGTACAGTCTTGTGCATTTATAATTTATTTTACATTATAGTTATTTGTATATAAGTTAGAGCTTTTCTCCTAGGCAATACATTCCACAAGAGCAAGGACAGCCCCCCCCCCCCCCAATGCCTAACACAGGATATTGTATATAATAGGTGCTGAATAATTGCTTGCTAAATTGAATTAAAGATTCTTTTTGTCCTTCCTCTCCTAGGAGAGGAGCTTCTTCCTAGAAATTCCCATGAACCAGAGACTCAGTCTGTCCACTGGAGAAACCTGATAGGTTTTTGGTGAGTGACTGTGGGAGAAATCAGAGGGTATAGAGGAGAAGGGACCAGAGTGGACCCCAGGAGGAGGAGCGAAATGGACAGAGGTAGGTTAGGAAAAGAAAAAGTAGAGGGGTGAAGGAATAAAGTGGATGAGAGAGGAGAAGGACAGAAGTTAAGAAATAATTCCTACCCTGAAGCAGCTTATAGTCTAGGTGTTTAGATGGAATGAATGAATGAACGAATGAGGGTTGGGGAACCATTTATTCAGTAAAAACTCTGGGAATATAAATAGTTTTCTGTTTCTGCAAGACAGTCCCTGCTTTCAAAGAGCATACGTTCCAACAGGGGGAAACAAAATAGAATATAAATACATGAAAAGTTGAATTGTAGTTGAAGATTTTGTGTTAAGAATATGTTGGCTCATTTAACTCAATCCATTCATTTTACAGATTAGGGAGGTGAAATCTGTAGAGGAACTTAGTGGCAGAACCAGTATTTAATGCACAGCTTTGCACTTAGTAGGCTCTTTATATAAAGTTAATGAGTAATGAATAAACTGGGGCTAGGACTTGGGTCTCCTGACTCCAAATCTAATCTTTCTTTCCCTATGCTACCCAGATCTTAGAGATCTTTTCTTTACATAGTCTAACAGTTGAGGCTGATATACAGAGAAGTGAAGTTGTTTGGCCAAGTGTGTTGCAGTAGAGCTGAGACTGCAACTCTAAGGACAGTAATAGGATCTCTATCACAAAGCAGTATATGCTAAGAATTAAATTAGTAGTAGGCCAGATAGGTGCCCTGTGTTGTTAGAGTATGAAACAGTTGCTTCCCGGTAGGATAGTCAAAGGGGCCTTCGTGGAAGAGTAGGGATTCAATCTGAGCCTTTGAGAAATTGGAGAAAGGGACAGGAAGAGCAGAGAAGAAAGAGGAAAAACAATGGAAGTCATTTTGTAAATAGTAAAATGTTGGTAGCTGGGTGTGGTGAGGAGGTAAAAGCTGGTTAGAGAGAAATAGACAGCAAAAAGGGTTCAGAAGGAAGTTGTCTTCTGAGCGATGCTTCCCTTTTCACCTCTAGGCTCCTAGGTCTTTGCAACAACTTCTCCTATGTGGTGATGCTCAGTGCTGCACATGACATCCTCAAGAACCAGAGGGCACCTGAAAATAACAGCCATGTGAGTTACCAGTTATAATAGGGCTTCCAGTTTAAAGCTGGAAGGGACCTTAAGCATCATCTAGGTATTCTAGACAACGGAGGGTCATCCTTATCTTTCAGAGGTGGAAACTGGGGCCACAAAGGCTAATCCACAGTTACACGTTGAATTACTGGCAAGAACAGCATTCATTCATTGATTTATGTAGCATATTGAGCACTGATTATGCTATGGGCTTATGTATTGATAAATAGGGCAAGTAGGTGGCACAGTGGATAGAGTCAGGAAAACTCATCTTCCTGAGTTTACATCTGGCCTCAGACACTAGCTGTGTGACCCTGGCCAAGTCACTTAAGTTCTCTTTGTCTTAATCCACTGAAAAAGGAAATGGCAAACCACTCCAGAATCTTTGCCGAGAAAAACCCATATAGGGTCAGAATAGTCAGACGCGGCTAAACGACTGAATAACAACAAGGGGAGAAGAGTATGAATGTAATATGAAGGGCAGTTTCCTAATAATCAAATGAAGGTTCCAGAGAGCACAGTGTAATGTTAGGATAGAGTGGGATAAGGATATGGGAGGGATGGGGCAGACATGGATGGATATGAAGGGGAATGGGGAGTGGTGGCCAGAGAAAGGAACTTTCTCCCTAGACAGCCTTAGACTTAGAACACGGGGATTCTGAGTAGATACATAGAGCTGTAAATTGTCACTTGTCACACCCTTCTCTAGAGCATTGGTATTTGTTCCCTCAGTAAGAGGTAGAAAGCATGGGATGGGAAGGGGAGAGGAGAGACCTTCATAATGGTCAGGGTTGGGAGGAGGGGAGTACTAGGGCTTGGCTCATTGTAAAAGGGTGAGGTTTGAGGTACTTAACCTTCAATCTTCAGTCTTGGTCAGTTTACCCCAGTGCTAGATCCATCATTGAGTAGATTACCTCCCCCAGAGTTGGGGGAAGGTTGCTCTGAGAAAATTGCTTTGAAATACTCTACAAAGGAGTAGCAGTTCTTGTTAAGACATTGGCTAACAGACTTTTCCTTTCTTCATTCAGGTGGATCCAGAGCCAACACCCACTTCTCACAACAGTACATCTCGATATGACTGCAACCCTGTGTCGACAGCTGTGAGTGTCCTTCATGATCCCCTGAAGCCTTCTACTCCAGTCCCCATTTCACCTAGTTAAGGTCCTGTAGCTCTGAGTGCCCTGCCGTTCTGGCAACTAAAAGAAATCTGTCTATCTACTCCATACAAGACAGCCTTTTTTACTTTCTGTGCTCTGACTCATCAGGGTAATCTTTGATCTCTGGGGCCCTGGCCCTGGATTATCCAAAGGGTTAAGAATGAAATCTTATTTATAATTTCTATCCTAGGCTGTCCTCCTGGCTGATATTCTGCCTACATTCATTATCAAGATGCTTGCTCCTTTCGGCCTTCACTTGCTGCCCTACAGGTCTGCAGCACATGGGGGTAGGGTAGAAATGAAAAGGAGGAAGATGGTATAGTTTAGTGTGACTTCAGGCATGTCACTTAATTTGTCTAGGCCTCAGTTTCCTCATTTGTGAAATAAGGTTGGAGCAGATGATCTCTTTCATTCCTTTTCACTCTAAACCGTATGATTCTGTGGAAGTGCACTGGCCTGGAGACCTGGGCAGTGGTTCTAGCTCCATGTCTGGTTGTATGACTTTGAGCCAATCACTTGTGTGTATTCTTCAGTTTCTTCTTCTTTAAAATAGGAGGTTTGGTCTAGGTGTCACTAAGGTCTCTTCTGCTTCTAAGTGACTTTAAGATGGGATCTGGGTGGTAAGGGGGAGGAAGAGAAGCAGAATGCTGGAAACAGGTAAAAAAGGTCATGATCTGAGAGTTCAGTGGGGTTAAAATTGGAGGAGGGAAGGACTAATTGATCACCTTTCTCTCTAGCCCTCGAATTATCCTTTGTGGGGCCTGTACTGCTAGTAGCTTCCTTCTGGTTGCCTTTTCCCAGGAAGTTATGACCAGCCTAAGTGGTGAGTTGTGTGGTTGGGAGACTAGACCACAGGAGGGTTTAGTTTGTACGATTGTGGGGTGGCAGGGTTAGGGCAAAATGACACAAGGTCAGGGCTACATGAGGAGAAAGATTTGGTCAATTCCATGGGGCTGACCCCTTCTCTGTCCCCACCTTCCTATCTCTAGGTGTGGTCCTGACTAGTATTTCCTGTGGACTGGGGGAGATAACCTTTCTAGCCCTTACTGCCTTTTACCCCAGGTAAATTGAGTGAAGGGAAAGAGTTTGAGGCAGGGTTTTTCCTTTTTTTTTTTTTTTTTTTTTGAGGGGATGCAGGGAATTTGGGTCATAGCAGTCCCCTGATCTCGCTCCTACATCTCTTCTTCTTGGCTGTCTCCTTTTCAGTGAGGTGGTTTCCTGGTGGTCCTCAGGCACTGGTGGGGCAGGAGTACTGGGGGCCTTGTCCTACCTCGGTCTGACCCTGGTTGGTCTTTCCCCTGAAAATACACTAATCTCTATGCTGGGCATCCCTGTTCTCCTGCTGGCCACGTGAGTATCTCTTCCTGTTTCAACTTCTGTACTCTCCTTTGGGGAGTGGAAAAGAAATATGAGTCAGGGAAAGGGAAGAGATTTTGAGACTCTCTCCTCTTTCTTTTTCTTTCTTCCAGTTACTTTCTGCTGCTCAAGTCCCCAGATTCATCGGCTTGCCAAAGAGATGGGGCGCTTGGGACCTCAGCTCAGCGGCCCCTCACAGCAGGAGAGAGCTCCAAGCCCTGTGAGTGAGTTGGTTTTCTCACCAGGCCTAGGAGACAGCCTGGTAGACGAACTTGTTCTGTGATGTTGGTCACATCCCTTAGGCTATTGGGGTCTTACTTTCTTCACTTGGCAAATGAGAATAATAAGCTCTGGTTCACAGCCACTTGGGGTGGGGTGGGTCACATGAGGTCAAACATAGGAAAACATTGTGGAAATGATATCATTGCCTGAAGTTAGGAATTATTATTATGGCTAATGATAACTTATTGTGTAATATAGTGAAAAGAGCATTAGATTTGAAGTCAAGGGATCTGGGTTGTTAATCCCAATTCTGTTACTTAACTATTTGTATAATCTTGGGCTTCTTCATCTATAAAATGAGAGAGTTAGAATAGATGACCTCTGAGGTCCCTTTTAGCCCTAAATCTATGATCCCTTTAGACCTCCTTTTTAAAAATACATTTTTTATTACTAATAAACTTTAACAAATGTAAACATTTCAATGTGCTTTGAAAAACCAAAAAAGGGAATTGTATATGAAACTGGCGAATTTTGTTTTGTACATTTTGCCTTTTCTTCCTCTACCATGTATGTCTCAGGTTTTTAAAAAATATATAGTTCAAATTGACCGTGGCAGTTCTGACAGTTCCCTGCTTGTCTGTGGGCCTCTTCTCCTGGGCCTTCTCATCAAGAGGGTAAAGGATGAAATTCTTTCTAATTCACTCCTCTTTTCCCAGCAGACCCCAACTTCAACCAGAGCCTCTCTTTCAGTGACAGGTGGAATGTCTTTAAGGTATGGGGAAACAGGATAGGGGTAAAGTGATACTACTTATGATTTGGGGGTAGGTAAGGCAATGGATCAGTAATGGGGGTTATTGTTCTAGTGTCTGGCCGGACAACTGTCAGGCCTAGAGCTGAATCTAACTTTGCATCAAAAGCTCATCCTCTTAACCTCTGAACCTTCCAGGGTCTCCTGAAATACATCGTCCCCTTGACTCTGGTTTATTTTGCTGAATATTTCATCAACCAGGGGCTGGTGAGTAAGAAGATGTTGGGGAGGGAAATCAGGAAAAGGGAGTGTGAGGATTAATAACTGAGGGTTGGGATAAAGGAGTAAAGAGGAGGCATTCATAACTCCCTTTAATCTACTTCTCTACCTAGTTTGAGCTCCTTTTCTTCAGAAACACATCTCTGAACCATGCCCAGCAGTACCGATGGTGAGAATAGAAGTGGGGGGAGGGTGACTGAAGGGGGCAGGTTCCTCTGAGAACAGGGCTTTTCAGATAGAAGGGGAACCCCTCTGACCACTCAGTTCTTCACAGGTACCAGATGTTATACCAAGTTGGAGTCTTTGTCTCCAGATCCTCTCTCCGTTGCTGCCACTTCCGTTTCATTTGGCTATTGGCAGTGCTTCAGGTACAGTTCCCAGATCTCTTTTGAAATCCCTCTGTTCCTTCATCCTTCCTTTGTTTACAAGTCCCCAGCACATTTATCATTCACTTGACTCCTCGAGACACTTGCTGGTGGAAAACAGGGAACCTGAGCCTTAGGCTAACTTTGGGTGTTGTAATGAAGAGAGCCCTGGACTTCAATTCAGGATACCAGCTATGCTAGTTACTTGCTATGGACCCATAGGGAAAGTCATGTAACCTCTGCCTTTTTATTCATCTTATAAATGGGGAGCATAACCCTTGTATTACCCACATCAGAGGGTTGTTGTGGGAAGAGTAGTGCTTTAAGGTTTACAAAGTGTGCCGTAATTGTGAGATTGGTATCAACGAAGAGTTTCTTTGGTTTAGCTTTTTTTTTTTTTTCCCTTTTTTCTAGCTCTGAGAATCCTATTGAAGTTCATTATTAGGCTATCCCAGGGATGGGGGACCTTTGGCCTCAATGCCACATGTGGCCCTCTAATTGTTCAAGTTTGGCCCTTTGACTGAATACAAACTTCACAGAACAAATCCCCTTAATACAAGGATTTGTTTTGTAAAGCTTGGACTCAATCAAAAGGCCTCACCCATAGACTCTATCCCTTCCACTTTGAGGGTTATGCCCTTCCCCACTAACTGATTCTGTTACTGACATCCAGTTCTTTTTCTCCACTAGTTCTTGAATCTGGGCTTCCTGATGGCTGAAGTGTGGTTCAGTTTCCTTCCCAGCATCTACCTTGTTTTCCTGATCATTTTGTATGAGGGCTGCTTGGGTGGGGCTGCCTATGTAAACACCTTCCACCGAGTTGCAGTTGAGGTCAGCAGGAATGGGGTGGGGATCACGGGGAGGGGGAGGAAATAGACGACTAGAGTGTAAGGGACTGAGTGTACAAGGTCTTATAGTCTGATTTATCATGTGGTCAGGTACTGCTCCTTAGTTTTGTGTGAGTCTGAAGTAGCTAGTCCCTAACCCTATGAAGGGGAGGATAAAGCAATAATGGGGGAGGAGGAGGAGAAAATGGGAATTCTTTTAACTGACCTCTCCTTTGCTCCTAGACCCAGGATGAGCACCGGGAATTTGCCATGGCAACTGCCTGCATAGCAGATACCTTGGGGATCTCTTTGTCAGGGGCCTTGGCCTTGCCTCTGCATGATTTCCTATGCCAGAGTCATTGACACTTG